AGGCTGCCCAGGGACGTGGTTGAGTCACCATCCCTGGAAGTATTTAAAAGACGTGTAGATGCGGCACTTAGGGACATGGTTTAGTGGGCATGGTGGTGTTGGGTTGACGGTTGGACTCGATGATCTTAGAGGTCTTTTCCAACCTTAATGATTCTATGATTCTATGTTTCTATAATGTTAACTTTCATAGTTTTGCAGCACCAAACAGTGGTCCAAGTTGCTTTCTTTCTCCAAACAATTAATAGCTAAATACTGTAAAGTTTAAAAAACATATTTATGCATCTATATTGAGGGATCAATTATATTTCCTTTTATGTTTCAGTTGTATAAGCCACTTTGGTAGCAGAGTGCAGTAAGGATCTTGCTATAAGAGTTACCAGCAGTAAATTGGTGTATCCCTCTATGATGTATTTCCTAATGAATAGGTGCAAGTGTAATGCTAAAAGGGTTAAAGATTGTAAATGAGGGGTAGAAAAATCTAAAGGCAGAAAATCTGGAAGCAGTTACCGCTCCGCGTTGGCATAGATACAAGTGTTACCTTTGCAAATGGACTGTGCAGCATTTTCCTGTGCTTTATTTCCCAATTAACATCTGTTGTCTGCAAAACTGTAGAACGCAGGTAACTTGAGTTTATGATCTTTGACTCATAGCTAACAATGAGGAGTAGTTAGCTCAGCACTTACCACATGCTAACAATATTTTTGTACTGAGCAAATCACTTGTTTGTGAATCTTAGTAGAATGAAATACTTTTTGTGGAATTTGGTGGACATTTAAATAGGTTTTGTTTAGGATTTCAACCTCTGTGATAGTTAAGTATTGTACTTCCATAATAATTTTCATAATTCTCAATTCATTATCCGTAAACTGAGTAAGTTACAGTGGGGTGACATGACTTGTTGAAAATCAACTAGCAAGCTAATGAAAAGACAGAAAGAGGTAACGCTGCTCTCTAAAGTCCCACTCTAGCCTTACCTCAGTCCTATGCAAAGGATAAGAAATTTGTCTTCTTTGATGCAGGAGAAAGACTAGAGATCCTCTCCATCCTAATAAGGCTAAATTGCTAAATGCTTCTCCCCCGTAACTACTTCTAATAGAAGAGGGATAGTGGTCATACATTGCAGTATTTACAATGTGTTTGGTCAGGAAGAGAAATTGCTGGCATTGTCACGGAGTCTTGCAGATTAAATGCAACGATGTGTATTTGTTACCTCTACAGAACCACCCTTGCTCTTTCCACACACGTTATTTCTGTAAGTTCTTGTCATCCTTCTCCTCCCTTTCCTTATCTTTCTCGCTAGGCCACTAACACTGAAAATCCATCAGGTCATAGAACTAGACCAGCAGCTGGTATCTGGGTCAGGTGTGCTGTCCATACTGGCTGCCCATACAGCCTCCTGTCTTCTAACCATCCAACGTGTGCTGGAACGTTGTAGAGGCTGCCTTGACAGAGAATTTTTTTGTTATTTAGTTGCTCAGGTCCAAGCTCCTACTTCATATGAGAGGCAGGGAGAGACTCAAATCAGAGGCATGGCAACCCCTAGACAAAGCCTGAATAAGGAGCTTCCAGAAATAATAATAACAATAAAAAAATCTGTTTTCCAAGCCCCAAATTCCTCATTTCTTATGCCATTCTTCTTGCTGTATTCATCCTGCCCCTGACACTAGCTCTTGCAGAAATAAATTAAAGCAGTAAAGCAGTGACTTATGTAGGTAGGCGCATCATCAATAGCTGTGATTTTGTAGCCCAGCAGAGTTGGGGAGGGAGAAGTAATCTGAGAGCTTTCTGGAAAGCTCTCTTTTGGGAACCTGTTACTCAAATGTTCTTACATTTTAGTCGCTAAAGAATCAGCATCTTTGAGGGAAGGCATCATTTAAAAAAATCTGGTTGGGCAAGTGGAGTTATCCATGCGGCCAAATTTGAAGTTGTAGGGTATGCCTAATTAAATGTCTTTATCATTTTACAGTGGTGATGAATGCTCATTAAATGGTTTTGCTGTTTTAACTGCATTGAGAACTAACCTACGTGTTTTTAAATATTGGCATACATATCTGAAGCAATACGTTTGTAGTTAAGGGTTTATTGAATCATACTGGTTTATACTAATCTATTTTTGCTTCCAATTCGTAACAGATGGGAAGTATGCAAGCAGTCATGTTGCTATTCCCAACTAAGATGCAGCAATCCTAATTGGATCACTAATTTAATCACTCATTGCTCAGAAAGTCAGAAATCCAATGGTTGCCAAGTCGTGTTAAAGTTACAGAGCCTCTGTTTTTAAAAATGATTCATCTGCTGTCATCAATATTTGAAATTTATTGCCTGTTAAAGAATATTCTGCTACAATATTCACGGCAATTGTAGGAAAAGGTTAAGTAAGTTCAGAGGAAAACAAAAGAATATGGAGAGATGCTAAGCATTACTTCAAGTGCATTATTAAGTCCCACTGTCTACATGATAGTGGGTTCTTGTATACAGTTAAGTATAGATTTATTCCCAGAGTTAATTACTCCAATGTTTGGGAGGTGACTTGACATAAATTAGGAAATGAATCTTTATTCTTTTTGTTGTCTCAGAATTGCATTAGTCAGCAGAAGTTCGGCGTGTACTAAAAATATGTAGAAAACTGAGTCTTGAAATGTTTTGAGAAATTATATAGTTCCTTGCCAGTTTTGGTTAGGATTGATTTCTATTTGCATAGCTGCATTAACAGCAACCGAATAATTCTACATAATTATGAACATTAGCTGTCACAGATCTGTTAGTCATGTTCTGACTTTATGAAAGGAGCCTTTTATTTAAAAGTATGTGCTATGTGCTTTGTTATAATTTATACTTTTGGGGGATAAATACCTTTTTAAGCACAAAATCAGTACACGAATTTAAACTAACATATTCAAAGCTATAAATCTTTTATCTCTTTTAGAAAATTGAAAACGGAAGATTTGCAAAACTCAGATATATTGCACATGCTATGGTCAACAGTACAGACCTGTTAATGGTAACAAAAAGGTAAACAGTTTTGGCTCTGAATAATAAGTACTTAAAACTATCATCAAAATGTGCATGCCTTGATAATTATTGATCAGTAACTGTGCTTTGACACGTCTGTCATTATGTATGTAGATCAAATAATGGGGAAGGCATGCTTGGTGTGCTGTTAATATTGTTCAACAGCAGCATTGTTCAGCACAAGAGTATGTTATTTTGAGTGCCATAGTAATTTCTCTATTTAAGGAGAGAAAAGGAATGTTGGTTTTAAGATTTTTTTAGCTGAGAAAGATTTTTTTTTTTTTTCTCCCCATTTTTTTTTTTTTTTTTTTAAATAAATCTGGTTAGGTTGAAGTCAACAGAACTGTGGGATTTGCTTATAAATTAGCATAAGGAAGGAAAAAAGGATAATACTAATACAGGAACAGAGTCAATAATGTCTAACAGTGGAGCATCAGGCATCTTTCTCAAACAAAAAGTCTGTACAACTTGTTGTAGAAATACCTCTAGAAGTAGCATTATGGTTCTGCTATGAAACACAGTTTTAAATAAGTTAGAGGAAGGTTCAAAATTCACTCTTTTAGAAAGTATGCTGTATGGTTGTTATATCATTAGATGAGAACTATTTTGGATCAATGAATGACTTCACTAGCGCTAGAGTAACTTGATAATTTTTAAGTATTTTTACATTATTTTTTAAATTATTAATTTTATTTTCTGTTGTCTAGCGGTGTGTTATTTGTGACAAAAGGGACATTTGGACAGCTGACATGTGAATGGCAATACACTTACGATGAATTTACCAAAGAACCATTCATCGTTGATGGCAGAAGATTACGCATTGAAGCCAAGGTATGTTAACCTCATCATGTTTTGTTTTCTGTTTGTGTTACTGTTTATAAAATTGAACTTTGAATTCCTGATCTCTCTCCTGTGAATTCTTGATCTCTCTTCTAGTTGAGATGCACTCAGAGAAGGGAGTTGAAATTTGGCATGGGCAAACTCCTCAGATAACTAACTTCTGACTGTTCTAAGCAGAATGGTGACTTGGCGTTTGCAGATGAAATTATTCCTTGAGCCCTGGGAATTCTTTGCTAGTATGCACCAGTTCATGGTGTATTCATAGTCTGGAAAATGGTGATACAACAAAACTCTCTCAGAAGGTTGCAGAATGTTTTTATTACGCACTCTGGCGCTGTGGAGATATGCCAATATGTGGAAATCTACCTTGTTGCAATCCCAAAGATTCAAATGTATCAGAGCAATACATTTGCATATGCTATGCTTCAAGGATTGTTTTTCCATTTGCTAGTAATCGAATTCTTCAAAAGTATAATAAGGTATTAATATCCTCATAAAAACTGTAATGATATATGCTTATTCCTTTCAATGCAAGTTGAAGAATGTTGCTCTCAGTTGCAGCTTTTCCTTTAAAAAAAACCCCAAAACTTTCTTTCTCTGGTAAATTGGCAACGGGCATAAGGAGAAAGATGACTGCTGATGACTGAATATACTTACAGAGGCAAAGTTCCTTTAAAAAAAAAAAAAAGTTCTTGTTGAGATGGTAACTGAATTTAATTTCAATCAATAAATTTACCTGGCAGTGTTTTGTTTTAGTTTCTGTTTTTAATAAGCTTCATGTGTGTAATTACACATCTTGGTTGTCAGGACAGTCTTGGCAGTGTACGAAGTCATTCAGTTTTTCACTCAGATTATTTGTTTCTATTGCAGAGAGCATGAAAGGCAGAGCCATATTGGTTTGGAATCCTCCAAACTGGATTTCTGACTGCAAGTGAACTTTTACAGGATGAAATAATTCTTAGAGTTTCTGCCATTTCAGACAATGTTGAATAGCATATCCATCTTTACGCCTATACAGCAGTCATTTCAGAGTCCATTCACATGTCTGCAGTATGCTCTTTATTGAGATCTATGGTTGAAAACTGTATTTTGCAAAGCACTGCTTATGTTTTATTTCTGAAGCCTAAGCTGCTATTTTCACTACCTAAGACCACTACTTGCAAGTCAGTATTGGTGGAATGTCCACCCAGGTAATGACTTGAAGGAGAATGAAAAATTACAACCTTAAGGAGTACTGGATTTCGTTACCCCACATACTCCATTATCTGCCTTCCATTCCTACACACTTTTATGGTCCAGTCTCCAGGGACTCCATGGTAAAAAGGGAAGTCTGTTATTGCTGGAGTGTTCCACTCCACTGTGCTTTTGTGCAGAAAATGAAGTTTCTCAGGGTGCGTGCATGCGATGTGAAATTACTCAGGTTAGTGTAATGGGTACACGTTGTTGTCTGAACCATATAGCTGCCTTAACGGTAGATAACTTCTTAGTCATAAAGTTTGAAGAAACTAACTTCAATTTTGAATTACTATTTTTTTTTTTTTCAGGAACGAGTTAAGTCTGTGTTCCATGCCAAAGAATTTGGAAAAATTATTAATTTTAAAAGTCCAGAGGATGCTAAGGTAAAGTCAAAATACTATTACAATTATCCTGTGCTAAATTTGGGTTAAAAAGTGAAACAGAAATATTCTTAACCTGAAACTGCTATGTATATTTAAAATTCAGTATTTCTACACAGCCATTACACAGATGGAAATAGCAATGATCTATTCAGTAGTGAATTTCAAAAATACTCAATTCAACACCAAACTTTTCCTTACACAAATCTTTGGAATTATAACTCTCTGTCAAATGGCTGATTTAACAGTACTGCTAACAAAAACTAAACAATCAAGAACGTGAATTAAAATAGTACATTTAATAGAACAAACAATATTCGTAAATTACTCCTAGTTTTATTCCGGGGGTGGGGGGGTGGGGGGATGTCATTCCTCTGTTCCATAAGATATATTTTTGCTTGAAGAATGAAGAAAATCCCTAATAGAAACACAAATAGTTTATTTGATATATGTTGTTACTCTATTATACACATATTCTATGTGATCTCTTCGTTTTGACATCATTAGTTTTCACTACAGCACAGAGGTCTCCTACCAGAACTATCAGGTGGCTGGATTGCGAAAGTTCTGCCTTGTTTTTATTAGCATAGCTCATTATTTTCACAAACAATAAATTAGTCTTGTATATATTCACATCAGTGGAATATGGTACCCTGGGATTACTCTTTGAAACAGTCTGTGAAAGTTGCATCCTCTCATCAGTTTAAGTTGCTTTTGCATCTTCTCATCATTTTAAGTTGCTTATGTCTTTTTGAGGGTAGTTTCTAACCACAGCTGAGTGATACCTTTTGACTCTTACCTCAAAAAGCATTACAAATACTGTCAAGGTATTTGAGGGCCCCATGCTGAATTTGACTTGTCTGTACTCTTTGGAGGTACCGAGCTCCTCTTCCCCCCCCAAGCTGTGGTGGGGCAGGGGCGCTGTTGAGGTCCTGTAGTCTGTGTGGGAAGGGAATCCCATCTATGCCCCAGCTAAATCAGGAACAACAAATTCGTGCATCATATTATGTGTGCCATAAGTCTTAAGCAAGGAAAAGAAAGCTGAAAAAGCGGTGTGCACTTTTCACAAAAATGTGTGCTTGCGTATTTTCCTAGAAAGGCCTGTGAACCACACAAAACCAACAGGAATACCTAACAGATTCATTCAAAAATTGCCATCAGGGCCTTAGGGGCTATCCCACAGAACGTCAGTCTTCCAGAGTCGCTTCTGGGCTTTTCAGCCGGTGGCTCACTTTTGCAAATGTGACACTTGTGTATATAGAGAGACGACACTGAGGGAAGTGTTTTAGGAACAGTGAAGATGAAACTTGCACCCTTTATAGTAAAAAGGGTGTGAGGTCATTTCAGTGACACTGCTTTGTGAACATGTTGTATTAAATGTCAGATACTGGAACTTACGTGCCTCCATTTTCATGTGAGAAAATCAGGGGTTTGTACTCCACAGTAGAATTTTGAGCACTGCGTTAAAACTCGGTTAGGAAGAGAGCAAGTAGTGAAGTGTCTTGGCCAACCCAATCTAATTTTCAGCTATTTTGTGTGGTTTTTACCATGGAAACATTTTTATTTTTTCCTTTTCCTTCACACAGTGGATCCTTTCTAAACTGGAAGAAGTGAGAGAGAATCAGCCAAAATTGTAATGAATGGAGAAGCACCAAGATACGAAGAACACTGAACAGCTACCTTACAATTCCTCTTTAACAAGCAGAACTATTTGATTATCAGCAACAAAAGGAAAAACAGGAGGGAAGGAAGATTTATGAAATTGTTTATTATGGTCACAACAGTCTATGGCTGTATCACAAAAACAGATGACGTTAAATTTAAAAAAAAAATCTAGTGATGAAAAAAATTCTGCCAAGTTTAGGCTTGTTTTGTTTGGTTTTTTTAGCGTAAGAATTCCAGATTTCATTTTTTATAAATACAGTGTAAAATGAAATTGTTTTACCATTACATTTGATATTGAAAATGAACACTGGAATAATTCTTATGATACTATTCACAGCAAATCGTTCAGTTTTTATTTGATTCTGAAAATCAAGACTTAGTTTCTGTCTTAGTTTTCATATGACTTGAGGCTGTGTTGAAATTCAAATTTCTTTGTCAAAGGAAATGTTTACTTAATAATCACTAGTCTTACAACTCAAATTCTAAGAAGGAGGCTACTGACCAGGGAAGTCTAATTTAGATGATTACAGGAGTGGCTGCTTAATTAACAATATTATTTTCTTTTTGTAAGTGAATGGACCAGGTCATGATGAATTTACAATATAGTATCACTTTTAGTGTTAACTTTTTTTATATTCTACTCAAGGAAACGTTGCAGCACCTCTATCAATATTCACAGAAAATATAAGTTTACAAAAATGTATAATGGGGAGAATTAATACACCTCTGCACTAGAAATATTAATTAAAGCCTATTATTTTAAATAAAAGTTACTAACAGTCTTGCAACTCAAGGAGTTTATGGGGTTATAAGTGCACTGTTGCATACCAAAAATAAATGCCTTGGATTACACAGTGTTGTGTGCTAAGCAAGTGACTATTAAAGTCAAATTTATATTAAATAATAAATATAATATTCCACAGTTGCTTTTATCAACTTTTCTTACCCAATGAAACTTTTTTGTTTCATATCCAGACAGCAGAACTTTAATAGGGAGAGCTTGAATGTGTGTAATTCTGCTTGTTTCTTAGTTGCAGTAGTCATAGTATTGTTGAATGGCTGTTTACTGCAGTTGATATAAAAAGTACAGGAAACAGTACAGTGTTACATGAAGGTTTCCATAAATTCCCATATCAAAGTCTTCAAAATATCTGGTACATATAGTAAGTACCTGCTGCCAAAATATTATTTCCAAACAATTGTTTGGAACATTTATAGCTACAGGAATTAATTCTGACATTGCTGGTGGTGCTTGAGATAATCCGAATTGTCGCATTATTGTAAATTCTAAAATGACTAGCATGCTAACCTACAATTGCAGTTCTTTAATTTACTGTAAGTCTTGTCTTTGGTGTTGAGTAACCATTTAGCGGGTTACAAAATACATGTAATATTGCAATTTTTCCCATAAACTGTAAATTGAATCAAAAGATTATGAGAGAATTACAAACTATGACAATGACTGTGTTACTCCACTTGTTTGTACACCAAGCACGTACCAAGAGTATTAACTCAGGTTATAATAATGCCAAACTAATGGAATACTTTGCCTTAGATAAGTAGCGTTATTAGGTGCACTGGGTACCATTCTATATCTGTAATTTGTTTTTCATCTATCACTTTTCATCTTAGGCATGATAGTTCAATTATTAGCCTCATCATGATCTTGATTCTTGATCACTGTGTTAATTGTCTCCTCTCTCTTTCCATCCCCAGTATTTACTGAGTATCTGCTTCAACTTTCACTTCTAGTACCTCTTGCAAGTACTTTGTACATTCCCATTTGTGTAGCTTTTCAATTTAGCCTATTCTAAATAATTTCTCTTCACAGAGCCTCTATTTCAATTAGTATTATCTCCAGTTCTTAACTTTCTTACATTTATTTTGCCAACAAACTCCCAATTCCCAAATCTCAGCTGGCTCTTTGGTAATATTTGAGCAATTTGACCATTAATGTTGAAGGATTTATTTTAAATATGCGTCTCCGTGATTAAGCTAATTGTTTTGGAAAACTTAACAATTCCCCCAAAATTGCATTTTTCCTATGAAGTATAAAATATTTTGATCTTCTGTGCTAACTAAAAGCCTTAATACAACAACTAAAACACTGGAAGTGTTCAAAAGTCGACATGGGACCTTCCCCCACCTCCCTCCTTGTCTCCACTTGTAATGACAACACTGATTTTCTGTAGTTACCTTTTTCTAGTCAGTAAATTGTATCTTTTTCCTTTGTTCTTCCTTACACTTTCTCCATACAGTCATGAATGAATTTTGCCATTTCTTGGCAGACACCGGTTCTCTCTGTTTTAACTATAAATCAGCCTGGGGCAAGGAGAAAGGTTTTCAGACTTATGCCGTTGTGTAGTTTTCTGGATTACTGCAAGTTGTTCAACGTGTCCACTTTGCTGTGCCTCATTCCTTATTGCAATATACATATTTTTTTCAACAAGAAGGCAGAACAGATATATTAATTTTTATTAAAGATGTATATGCAATTAGACAAGGGGATCTCAATAAAAATTAAAATGTAGGCGTTTAGGTCTGGCCACTGTGGTGTTTAAAAGCATACCATGGCCTTTACTGAAGTACTGAAGAACAGCTTCTCCTCTAGATGACTGTTACCTAAACTTAATACCTTTGAGAAATGTTGTTTGGGTTCTCAGTAGTAGTTTGTCAAGGGTCAGAATTACCTCTAAGAAATCAATGACAAACCAAACACAGAATCAAACATGCCAGACACGTTGCTAAAACATTTGTAAGTCTAACTGTTTGCACCTCTTTTTGTTCAGCTGCATGGCTTTGCATGGCACGGCTTTCTTGGTTTCCATACTCCTCCCCCTGCCCCGGCCTCTTCTTCACCTTGAATAAAGTGAAACTGAATTTTATTTGACTGGAATGTCATTATTATTTGTTTTCTTTATATGCGGCTTTAATTAACAGGTAATACCATTATCAAATCCTGTCTCTGAGAATGCAAGGTCAAGCTTCTGTTGCAGCCATCTCAGTGAAAGCAGAATACAGACTTTAGTCTTTACCTTCGGTTCATTATAAGACAAGTTTTTAATAACTGGATTTACATGTATAAGCTCCCTTTAAAGTTGTTTTTTTTCTGTTGCTGCATTGAAAAAACATAGATGATGTTGCCAGATAACAAGATTCTTATGAAATCCTCTTTTTTTTTTCCCAAAAAAATTCTGTACGTATGCCATTAGCTATTTATTATCTTTAGCACTTCACAAAATACACTCGCATATCAAAAAAATCACTAAGGTCTTTTGTTCCTTCTGAGTTATTTTTAGCCATCTGTCTGCAAATAACAAATACCACACACTACTCAATAAAAGATTAACTACCATTACATAGTAATATTAAAATTTAATACTTACAGCATATTCTTGAATTTGAACTACAAACCCTAAGTTTCCTAAATTTTCTGCTGATGTAAAACAGTTTCAATAAATATATCACATATCTTAATAGGATTGCTAAGCCTTGTGGCTTGTTTGTAAATAACTCCATATCCATATGACATTTAAATAGATTTGTATATATTTGATTTGTATATATTTCCTGATACTGTATTAGCTTAAAGAATGACAATATTCCACAAAACTATTCAGAAGATTTTTTTTTTCTCTTCTTGAGCCTTTCATGTTTGAATTCCAGAAAAGAACTACCTAAAGGCTGCGTTGCTTGTAATCATCTAAGTATTGTACAAGGCAAGAGTGCGCAGTTTCTTCAGCAAATGGTACAATGCCGCAGTACCCTCTTCCAGCATGAAACTCTCCCAGTTGATCCCTTTCCATCTGCAGTGACTAATCTTCAATGAAGATGCAGCAAAAACTAAAGCAGCAACCAATACCAATGAAACATTTACCTCCCAGGAACTAAGGATATAGGTGGCTAAAGTTCCTAACAGTTAATTACTGAGTTGGGTTTTTCTTTCCTATGATGTTGATCAATTTATCTGTAACTTCGGACAAGGAGGCAGCTCAGGTTCTATGCTTAAATGTGTTACTCAAACCAGACTGGGTGAAGGAGCTGTCTGTCCCCACTACTGTGTACAGATGATTATGGAAATTGATTCAATACTGTGGAAGGTTTTGGGTTTTGTTTTCCAATTTTTTTTAAGTAATTGAGACAGTGTATTTCAAAAGAACAGGGTTATTAAATGTGGGAGCTGTTTGTGAAAAATACTGCTAATATGCATTGTGTATCTGTATTTGGATCAGGCCCAGCCAGCACGGATTCATGAGAGGCAGGGCCTGCTTGACCAACCTGATCTCCTTCTATGACCAGGTGACCCGCCTAGTGGACGAGGGAAAGGCTGTGGATGTGGTCTACCGGGACTTCAGTAAGGCCTTTGACACCGTCTCCCACAGCAGTCTCCTAGAGAAGCTGGCGGCTCACGGCTTAGACAGGTG